CCCAAAGCCCCCGCGTCCTGCAGCGAGCCGTGCACGGCGAGCTGCCAGTGCAACGAGGGCTTCGTCCTCCGCGACGGCGCGTGCGTCCCAATGGAGACCTGCAGTTGTTTCCACAACGGCCGCTCCTACAAGATCCAGGAGGAGTTTTGGGAGGACGGGAGCTGCCAGAGCCGGTGCCGATGCGAGGTGGGGGGCAAGGTGGCTTGCAAGAAGGCTGGGTGCAAGGCCCACGAGAAATGCGTTACGGTCGACGGCGTTCCCAGCTGCCAGGCGAACAAGTACTTCACCTGCATCGGGACAGGCGATCCTCACTACACCACCTTCGATGGGTTGAGATACGACTTCCAAGGGACGTGCATCTACCAGTTCGCAGCCCTCTGCACCCAGGACCCCAAACTGGTTCCCTTCACCGTCAAAGTGGAGAACAACAACCGGGGCAACAAAGCTGTATCCTTCACCAAAACCGTCACTTTGGAGGTCTACGGCAACGTCATCAGCATGAGCCAGGAGCATCCGCGCAAGGTCAAGGTAGGTGTCCACCAAGGACCTCACGCAACCTGCGCCTAAACTGCTTATTTGCTCTGTTTTCCCCCCAATCCCCCTTTTTTTCCTCATGCACGCCTCCATGGAAGCATCAATTTCTGTCTGCCGTCTCCAGAGGGAGCCCTGAGCAGCTAGTTTGGATTTAAACACCTTATTTTTAAACACTTCAAGAAGTCCGTATGAAAAAAAAAGAAAAAAAAAACCCTACAACTTGTTTATGGCGTGCTGGAAACAGGCGATTTTCCCCCTGGCAAACTACGCGAGTAAAAAATATCCATGAATAATAGCAAAAATGCTTCCACGTTCAAAAGCATCCACTTTGCTTGACGTCTTCAGCTTCCTTTTTTTTGCTCCCATGCGGCTGTCTGAGTTTACTTTCTCCCCGACAGCTGCAAACTGACTCAATTAATTTGGGAAAGGTTCAATTCCCGCCTTGTTTCAGCCCAAGTGTTACACAAAAAAGGGTTAGCTACAACTTTTCCTTTATTTTTCTCCCTGAACAATAATATTTTCCACTTAACATAGAAGCCTATGCCTGGAAATCCTCCTCACGCGAAAGGTTTTTGCAGAAACACCCAAATCTCAAGGGATTTGCGTTTCTTCTGGCAATTCTCCCCATGCGAAGTGTTTACCAAAACCACCCCAAACTTGACTGATTTGAATTTGCCCAGAAATCCTCCCTTTGCGAAAGGTTTTGCGAAAAGGCCCAAATCTCAAGCGATTTGCGTTGGTTTTGCAGAAACACGCAAATCTCGAGTAATTTGCATTTGCCTGGAAATCCTTCCTGGGTTTTGTAAAAACATCCAAATCTCGAGCAAGTCGCATTTTATCCAGAAATTCTCCCCACGCAAAGAGTTTACTGAAAATGCCCCAAACTTGACCGATTTGCATTTGCCCAGAAAGCCTCCCCCTGCAAAGGTTTTTTGCAAAAACACTCAAATCTCAGCTGATTTGCATTTGCCCAGAAATCCTCCCCGTGCAACAGGTTTTCCAAAAACACCCAAATCTCAAGCGATTTGCATGTTGTCCGGAAATTTTCCGCGTGCAATATGTTTACCAAAACCACCCAAATCTTGACTGATTTGGCCCGGAAATCCTCCCCGTGCAAAAACACTTGGATCTCGAGCGGGTTGCATGAGCCGTTTGCCACCCGGTGCCACCACCGACCCTCCACCCCACCTTCCCCAGGTCAACGGCGTCTTCGTGGAGCTGCCGTTCACCCAGAAGGACCAGTTCGAGCTCTACCACAGCGGCGTCCACGGCTTCGCCCGCACCGCCTTCGGCTTGCGGGTCAGCTTCGACTGGTACAGCTACGCCCGCGTCATCCTCCCCGACGCCTACGCCGGCGCCGTCTGCGGCCTCTGACGCTGTTGATGACTTCATCACCCGCGACGGCAAACGGGCCGCAGATGAAATCCAGCTGGCCGATAGCTGGAAGGTGGGAGACGTCCCCGGTTGTTCGGCCGGTTGCGTGGGGGATTGCCCGGTGTGCAACGAGGAGCAGAAACAACCCTACCGTGGTGACGGCTATTGCGGGGTGATTGCCAGAGCTGGGGGGCCCTTCCGGGCCTGTCACCGCGCCATCAATCCCGCACCCTTCCTCGAGGATTGCGCCTTTGATGCCTGTCACTACAAAGGCCACCGGCACACCTTGTGCAAAGCCATCGCCGCCTACGTGACGGAGTGCCAGAGCCACGGCATCGGGGTGGAGCAGTGGAGGACGCCGTCCTTCTGCGGTGAGTGGAGTCAGAAGGGGGTTTTGCACCCCCCCCCCCACGCTTGGCCATAAAAATAAGGTTTTGAGCCCAACCACCCACTCTTGGCTTTCCTTACAGCCAACGGAAACACAAAACGCCTCCAAAATTGGGTTTATTCGCCCGTTTCCAATATCTCCTCGCAACGCAATTACTTTATCCTCTCCCTCCACAGCCCTGAGGCCAAACGATGAGTTCAGACGCAAAGATGGATGTGGGGAAATTCCCTCCAACTCGTTTCCAAAGCAAAATTCATTCCTTCCTTCACGCAACAGGGCAAAATAAATCCCCGTTGCCCTCCAGATTCTTCCCTGCTGCAAGGAAGGGGAATGCAAAATCAGTCCCCGTCGCCCTCCGGAGCGATAATTGAGGCTCAACCACTCAAGATTTGCTTGGATTTGCACCCTAGGCTTCGGGCTGATGAAAGAATAGGATTTATCTGCCCCGTTTTCAACCATTCCAGAAAAATGATTTTATTCTCTCCCTCCACAGCCCTGAGGCCAAACGATGAGTTTCGATGCAAATAGGGATGGTGGGAAAATTCCCTCCAACTCATTTCTGAAGCAATTTGTTTCTCCTTCCTGCAACAGAGCAAAGCAAATCCGTGTCGCCCGCCACATTCCTCCTTCGTGCAAGGAAGAGGAGTGCAAAATAAATCCCCGTTGCTTGCCACGCATTTCATTAATGCAAGGAAGGGGAGTGCAAAATAAATCCCCATTGCTCGCCACGCATTTCATTAATGCAAGGAAGGGGAATGCAAAATAAATCCCCATTGCTCGCCACGCATTTCATTAATGCAAGGAAGGGGAATGCAAAATAAATCCCCATTGCTCGCCACGCATTTCATTAATGCAAGGAAGGGGAATGCAAAATAAATCCCCATTGCTCGCCACGCATTTCATTAATGCAAGGAAGGGGAATGCAAAATAAATCCCCATTGCTCGCCACGTATTTCATTAATGCAAGGAAGGGGAGTGCAAAATAAATCCCCATTGCTCGCCACGTATTTCATTAATGCAAGGAAGGGGAATGCAAAATAAATCCCCATTGCACTCCGGAGCGATATTGATGCTCCACCGCTGCGGACTTGCTTGCATTTGCCCCCCAGGCTTCGGTGCAATGATGGAAATACTCGCCCTGACGGCTGCAAATCCAAGTGGGGTTTCATATTTTCTCCTCTGCTTCTTGCAGGCCCCTCCTGCCCCCATCATTCACACTACGAGCTCTGCGGGAGCAGCTGCCCGGCCACGTGTCGACGCCAAGCCGTCCCCGAGGGCTGCGCCTCGGTGCTGTGCACCGAAGGCTGCTTCTGCGACGAGGGCTTCGTCCTCAGTGGTGACGAGTGCGTGCCAGTGGGCGAGTGTGGCTGCGAGCACCGGGACCGCTACTACAAGAAGGGTGAGGATTTCTACGCCTCATGCCGGGAGAGATGCTGTTGCAAAGCCGACGGGGTGGTGGAGTGCGAGGAGGTCTTCTGCAGCGCCCACGAGGAGTGTCGAGTAGAGGACGGGGTGCTGGGGTGCTACCCCACCAGCTACGGGCGGCTGGTGGTGTCAGGGGACCCCCACTACGTGACGTTCGATGGGCGAGCCTTCGACCTGCTGGGGTCCTGCACTTACGTCCCCTCTCTGAAAGCGGCGCCCTCGGCTGACGAACTTCTCGATCCTGCTGGAGCACGACGTGGGCGGTCGGGGCAACGTGGCCCTGATGAAGAAGGTGGTCATCTCCATCCACGGGTACACAGTCAGCATGGAGAGGGGACGGAAGTGGGAGGTGATGGTAAGTCAGGAGGGTCCCCTGCCTCGGTGCACGTGGGCGTGCAAAATCTGTGGTGCACACGTGCAGGCAAAATCCCTCGGTGCACGCGTGCATGCGAAACGCCTCGGTGCATACATCTGTGCAAAATCCCCCGTGCACACGCGCATGGAAAAGCTCCCGGTACATGCAAAATCCCTCCGCTGGTTAAGTTAGGATGTCTCCATCCCTCGGTGCACGCATGCGTGCAAAATCCCCTGGTGCATGCGTGCGTGCAAAATCATCCAGAAGTTGGGATGTCCCCATCCCTCGGTCCGCACGCGTGTGCAATATCCCCTGGTGCGCGGGTGCATGCCAAATCCCCTGGGGCACACGTGCGTGCAAAAGCCCCTGCCACACGAGCGCGTGCAAGATGTCCCGGTGCACGCGAAACCTGTTGATGCACTCGTGCGGGAAGAAATCCGTCGGTGAGTGCGTGCATGCAAAATCCCCTGTTGCACACGCGCGTGCAAACCCCTCCCCATCCTACGTGCACCCCCCCAGGTGGGAGGGGAGCGCTACACGCTGCCACTGGTGACGGAGGACAAGAAGCTCCGGATCGGCCAAGAAGGGAACAACATCATCCTCCAGACCGCTGCCGGCCTCCGGCTCCTCTACAACGCGGCCACCTACCTCCTCGTCACCATCCCCGACGCCTACCGGGGCCGCATGTGTGGACTGGGTGGCAACTACAACGGGGACCCCGGCGACGACTTCCAGCTGCCCGGCGGGTCCCTGGCGCAGAGCACCGAGGAATTCGTCACCTCCTGGAAGATGCCGATGGAGGACGGAGCGTGCACCGACGGCTGCAACAGCAAGGTCTGCCCCATGTGCGATGCCACCGACACTGCTCCCTACGGTGCCAGCGACTCCTGCGGGCTCATCCGGGACCCGGCGGGACCTTTTGGGCCGTGTCACCCACGGGTGAGCCCGGTGGAGTATTTCAACCATTGCCTCCATGATGTTTGTGCTGCCAACGGCGCCCGTGATGTCCTGTGCCACAGCCTCCAAGCCTATGCCGCCGCTTGCCAAGCTGCCGGGGCCGAGATCGGCGGATGGAGAACGACCACTTTTTGCCGTAAGTGCTCCAGAATATCTCCAAGGAGCCGCTTCAACTCCTGTTTTCCTCTAAAGCCACATTTGCCTCCAGCAAAACCCTCCAATTTTGCAATCCTGGCTTTTTTTTCTTGCTTTTGAGGCGAATGCGCCTTTATTGTCCGTACCAAGAAGACAGACGAATGATCTGTGTAATATCATGCAAGGCTGCCTTTTGCTTAACTCCCCCCAAAATCTATCAAATAGCCCAGAAACTATTTTTAAACCTCCACAAAAAACCTCATTTCGGGGCTTCAATCACCTATTGCCCACCAAAAACACCCTGGAAGAAAGAAATTCCAGCTCACCACCTCCAAAACATCAATATTTGTGTCAAGTGAGTTTGAAACGGGCATCCTCGAGGTGATTAATGATATGCAAATGCTTTTACTTGCATATTAAAAGCGGGATTCGGTTGTTTTAACATCTTTTGGAGCCATCAGAGATGCCCAAGACCATTGGTTAGCCATGGGGACGCCCCGTTGGGTCCAGGAAAAAGGGTCATGATTTTTTGGGGGGCAATAATGGTATTTCTCCCTTTTTTTCCAGCCCTCTCCTGCCCACCCCACAGTCACTACGAGCTCTGCACCCGTACTTGCGACTTCACCTGCGCCAGCCTCTCCGTGCCGGCCCCGTGCAGCTGGGCGTGCTTTGAGGGCTGCCAATGCGACGATGGGTACCTCTTCGATGGAGAAGCCTGCGTGTCCCTGGAGCAGTGTGGCTGCATGCACCAGGGACGGTATTTCAAGGTGAGGTTGACCATCAAGGCGGTTTTGGTGGAAATCAAGTTGAGGAAGGATTGTGGAGTGGGTTGTCCCATCTGGATGATGCAACTGGTTTGGGGATTCAGTCTTTGATGGGGTAGGTTGTCCCATCTCATCGATGCAACTGGTTTGGGGACTCGATCTTCAATGAGGTGGGTTGTCGCAACTAGATGGTGCAACTGGTTTGTGGCCTCAGTCTTTGATGAGTTGGGTTGATCCGTTGAGTTGATGCAACTAACTTGGGGTCTCAATCTTCAGTGAGGTAGGTTGTCCCATCAAGATGGTGCAGTAGGTTTGAGGACTCATTCGGTGAGGTGGGTTGTCCCATCTAGATGATGCAACTGGTTTGGGGATTCAGTCTTTGATGGGGTAGGTTGTCCCATCTCATCGATGCAACTGGTTTGGGGACTCGATCTTCAATGAGGTGGGTTGTCGCAACTAGATGGTGCAACTGGTTTGTGGCCTCAGTCTTTGATGAGTTGGGTTGATCCGTTGAGTTGATGCAACTAACTTGGGGTCTCAATCTTCAGTGAGGTAGGTTGTCCCATCAAGATGGTGCAGTAGGTTTGGGGACTCATTCGGTGAGGTGGGTTGTCCCATCTAGATGACGCAACGGATTCGGGGATTCCATCTTTGATGAGGTTGGCTGTCCCACTTAGTCAATGCAACTGGTTTTGGGACTCAATCTTCGATGAGGTGGGTTGCCACTCCATTTTAAGGACACATGTCCAAAATAATGCAATTAATATCATCCTAAAATGCATATTTTGCTCCACAGGACCAGGGGAAAAAGGACAATTAATTCATTGAGTTGCACAAACTCCACCAAATCCATCTCATGGTTTTTCTTTCTCTCTCTGGGATTTCTTCCTCCCTTGAAGGTGGGAAATTCCCCCAAAATTTGGAGATGGTGTCCATGCGAATTAACCTCTGAGCCTTTCCTTTCCAGGCGGGCGAGACCATCATCTCCAGCAACTGTTCCATGAAATGCAATTGCCACCCGTCCCGGGGACTTGTCTGTGAGGACATACGGTGTTCCCCGGATGAGGTCTGCGCCACGCGGGACGGGGCGCAGCGGTGCATCAAGCGGGAAGGCCAGTGCCGGGTCTCGCCAGGGGCCTCCATGACCACATTTGACGGCACCAGGGGAAGGCTCCTCGCCAGTGGCACCTACAAAGTGGCCGCCCTTTGCAACGAGCAATCACCCAACTGGTTCAAAGTGGTGGTGGAGGTCAGCGAGTGCCGGGACGACAGCATCCCGGCTGCCGTGGCCGTCTTCGTCTTCTTCCGCGAAGCTTTTATCAATGTGAATAACAACATGGAGGTGTGGGTAAGCCGGAGCAGGGTCATGGGCAACCCTTGAAGACGAGCAAGCTGAGTAATTAAATTAAGACATGGAATTTGGGTGGGATTTATCTCCTCTTCCTTTCGACGCCCTTAGGTGTTCAACCCCAATGATATCTTCATGCTGTCCTATTTTTACGGGGCGGCCTGGGATTTTTTAACCCGTTTCTGGCATTTTGCCTCGCTGCAGGTGAATGGTCTTTTCACCCGCCTTCCAGCTATGGTGTCCAAAGCCATTTCCTTGAGCGCGGTGGCGGGGAACATCACCATCTCCCATACATCGGGGATGGATGTGCTCTTCAGCCCCAGCGGGGAGGTGACGGTGACCGTAGGGGCTGCCTTGGTCAACCGGCTCTGCGCTCCCTGTGGCAACTTCAATGGTGACCCCAGCGATGACCTGAAGCTGCCTGATGGCCGGATTGTGAGGAGCATCGCAGAGGTTGTTGATGCCTGGAAAGCCAGGGATTTTACGGGATGGTGAGTGACCTCAAAAGACCCCCCCCCAAACCATGGGTTGATATTTTTTTAAGCCTGGGCAAGCAAGAGGGTAGGGAACAACCTCCATGGGGCATCAACGGGTTGGGCTAGGTGGCATCCAGGAAGGACTTCTCCATCTTCTTTGGTTTCATCCACAGCGACTGACACACAAACCCAAGGAAATTATTCGGGTAAGTGACTCTTCTCCTCCTTCGCTGTCACATCTCACGCTACAAATGCTCCTGCAGCCCCATGATTGGATGAGGCTTAGTTTGTTCGACCCTCCCTAATTAATTACATGAATAATTGGGGGTTTCTGGTGCCTGGACCAGCCTTAGGGGGACGTGTATGAAGAGTGGACACCCGACACCTTAGCTTCGACGTAGGACGTCCTGTAGAAAATGGGTATCGACCAAAATCATGACGCCCAGGAAAGTTTTCTTTGTAGAAAGAAAAACTGAGCCAAGATCAAGCTGAAATTGGTTCTTTGGTGTCTCATGGGATGTTTTCTGCTTCGTTATGGGTTTGTACCCATGAGAAGCAGAAAGAGGCAAATAGAGGGTGACTTTGTTGAATATAGGTAGATTCCACTAAGTATAGAATGGTCTTGCTGAATATAGGGTAATTTTGCCCAATATAGAATGATCTTGCTGAACATAGGGCCTTCTTGCAAAATACAGAGCGATTTTGCCGAATTTAGGGCAACTTTGCCGAATTTAGGGCAGCTTTGCCGAATATAGGGCAACTTTGCTGAATATAGGGCAACTTTGCCGAATATAGGGCAACTTTGCCGAATATAGGGCAACTTTGCCAAACACAGGGCAATTTTCCCACATAGAGGGTGATCTTGCCTAATACAGAGCAATCTTGCCGAATATAGGGTGATCCGGCTGAATATAGGGCTGCCTTGCCAAATATAGAGCGATCTCGTTGAATATAGGGCACTCTTGCCGAATATACAGTGATTTTGCCAAATAACGAGCCATCTTGCCCAATATAGAGCCTTTTTGCCAAATATAGAGCTATTTTGCCCAATATAGAGCCCTTTTGCCACATATAGAGTTATTTTGCCCAACATAGAGCCATTTTGACCAATATAGAGCCATTTTACTGAACATAGAGCAACCCCAAAGCCACCGCCACAGGGCAATGAAGATCCCTCCAAGGGCCATCCCATCTCCACCTTCTGCTTGCTTGCCCGCGCACCTCGCCCTCGTGCGCCCACCGGCCTGCCCTCGCTCCGCCGCCTTCCCCGGC